GAAGAACATTCCAGAAGCTTAATTTTCCTTTTCAAAACCAATTCTGAATTGAATCTGTATTTGGGATCATCGTCCTGTTGGAAGCTCTTGAAGTAGAGCAGGTCACCTACTAATTGGAAGGATGGTGGTTCAATTCCTGGCTCTCCCAGTCTGCTTGCAAATATCCTTAAGCAAGATACTAAGCACAAGTTGCTCTCAAATACATCCATTGAAGTGTGAATGTTAGATAGAAAGCTCTTTGATAGAAGAAAGTAGAACGAAAGAAGTCCATTTGATTTTGGGTGAAGTTGGGGAAAGTCCTTGTTCCATCCACTCTCTGCTATGAACCTGTTGTGGCGAATCCACTTAGCCAAAAAAAATGGATCGGACATCAGTTGTAGAAACGATATTCTTTATATAAGGCTTTAAATAAGGGGAATGTACAACAAATAAACTTCTCGACATCAGAGCAACATGTAATGGCTTCCCGAAACTTTCTCTGCTAGCTAAAAAACCCCAGAGTAACTTTTGTCTACCACAAAGGATTCTGGGAAACACAGTTTTCTAATGAAAATACCTGTTAAATGCTCCCCTTTAGCAGAAAATTAAATCTATAATTAACAGCTCTCACTAAACATGTGACTAACACTTAAATCACTTACAAAATAACCAAAATGCTGTTATCAAACAATAAACTGCAATAAAGTTACAACAGAACCACTAAACTCTTGCAGCAAACCAACCCCAGTGGAAAGCTTCACCTTTACGCCTCCAAAGATAAATTTCCACGACACTCACGCCCATGATAAGTGTATGTAATTTGACCTAATACAGTTCCTAAAAAGAGTGCTTTACCACTCTTCACTTTGCTAAAGCATATCCTGTTTTAAAATGTTTTAATAACACATCTAACAACTAATGTCATCCCACTAACACCACACCACTGAGACAAGATACTAAGTGTCAGTCAAGTAAATCAGCTCTAACTGCTAGTGCCTGAGGTTTAAACCCTTGTCTCTGTGGATAGCACGGTAGCATGATCCATCAGTGTTAGTTTAGCTCTGTCAGGTTAACACTGCCACCACACCTCCTTAGTCCAAAGACATGTATGTTAGCTTAACTGATGATTTCAAAGTGGCTGTGTGGAAGTGAGATAGATGAACACTTGGTAACAAGTAAGACTAGATAATAGCCGTGGAAATACCAGACTGCTGTGGTTTAAATAAGACATTACTGAATTGCATCTCACTCCCAGACTCCATGAAGTTCTGATGGACCTGCAGCATGAGCAGCTGCAGCAACTCACAGACTGGTTGGATGTGACAGAAGCACGGATTAAGAAGATGGGGGCTCAGGCACTGGGACCTGACCTGGAGGACATCAAGCGCCGAGTAGAAGAACACAAGGTGGGCGTATACTG